CTTCAATTTAAAACATTATCACCGCTAACTTCAATATAAGCTTCTTTTTTTGGAGGGGGAGGAGGGGCTGTCACTGTGCAAATCCTAAGAGATGATGATCCCCTCCACAACTCCCACTGAACTCAATGGGCCTGATCCAGGTCCCATCAGGATGAAGAAAAAAATCAATGATTTTTAAACATTTTTAAATTTAAATCAGACTTTTTAAATTCACTTCTTTTTAAAAGATAAACCTGTTTAGAATTAACTTTAAAATTATGATGACCCCCTATAAAGGCCCAAACTGACTGTAATCTTTTAAAAATCAATCAATAAAAATATAGTGCATCAGTGAGCCCTCTCCACATTAGCAAGTTAAAGGCTGCTGTTTTTTAATTATATACTGTATTGCAGGGAAAACATCTTTCACTTCTGAGGTTGACTCATACTTATAAACACGTCACAATCAAGTATTGCACCGGGCAAATATCTATATTATTTTCAGTCTTTACAATGGAGTGAATGCTGGTATTTGCACTTCTTATGTAAGTACTTCTCCGTTTCTGCTGTTCAGAGAAGATTTGGTCTTAATTAAAGTATATAGTTTCAGTTTAGCTAGGAGGCGAAGAGGGAAATGAAGAGAATATTCTTTGGACCACTTCATTCAAAGCTGAGAAAACAATTGGAAGCTGAAAAAACAGGAAAGCGTGTTTCCTGATGAGATCAGTTTCTGAAAACTTGGAAGGTCACGCGGCCAGATTTTCAAGGCACCTCAAGATGCAGGTAGGTGCCTAGTGAGACTTTCAGAAGTCTAAATACCACTAAAAGCCTGATCCATGGTGACCAGTCTGTCAGTTCACTAACTACATTTAATACTTCCTTTGTTTAATAAATCAGTTAGTTTTACATTAAAACGTGTTTGATAAACTTTTCTTTTGTATCCAATACATTTTAAGGTCATTTTAATTAACGGATAAACAACTTTCAAAGGCTGTTTTGACACATTTTTAATTGAATTCCAATTTCCATTCAAATGACAGAAATCACAAGTAAAAATAATCTAAGTAGAAAATGGTGAGTGATGTATTTCTTAACATAAAAAACAGAAAAATGAAGAATCTGATTAAATGTATGTTTAGCTGTATAATTGTGTAAATAAGTGTGTATAGATATAGCGTATTCTCCTGGTAACAAAAAGTTACAACCGAATATAGTCTTTACATTTTGATAATCGGCATGTTCTAATGCTTATATCAGCCAGAGAGAATGTTTCTTTAGGGAAACAACTAAAGTACAAATGCAAAACAAGATTAAAATCAAGTATCAGGGGGTAGCCATGTTAGTCTGTATTCACAAAAACAACAAGGAGTCCGGTGGCACTTAAAGACTAACAGATTTATTTGGGCATAAGCTTTCGAGGGTAAAAAAGGTCACTTCTTTAGATGCATGGAGTGAAAGTTACAGATGCAGGCAACTTTCTGTGACTTTCACTCCATGCATCTGAAAAAGTGACTTTTTTACCCTCGAAAGCTTATGCCCAAATAAATCCATTAATCTTTAAGGTGCCACCAGACTCCTTGTTGTTTTTAAGATTTAAATCACTGATTTAAATCAAGGTTTCCTGCTTGCTGATTTAACTCATGATTAAAATCAACAATTTAAGTCATTTTGATTTAAACCTCCCATTAGCCTTGTTTACATACAATTTTTGTTCTCCAAAATTTCCCACTGTTGCATCCACCAGTGGTACCTACAGCGGGAACACTAGTATCAACTGGCACTTCAGCCACTGTTGTCTAGATCTTCTATTAGCACTGGACAATTCCATAAAAAGTCAGTGGGCTCAGGAACCTTGTCTACACTCGTGTTCTTAATATTGCAGGGGGTGCCATTAGGGGGGGGGCAGGGCTTTAGTCCCCACTCCCTGAGTTTCATAGGGGAGGTCTACTCACCCAGCCCCAGACGGAGCTCTTAACTGCAACAGCTTGAGTGTTCGGAAGCTGGGAGCAGCACAGCCTTTGCAGCAGTGAGTTTGTTGATGCAGGGTGATTAAGATAACAAAAGGCTTATCGTTAAAGTAAATTAAGGATCGTTAGATGATCCTGAAAGCACTGCCAGGCACTTCAGTTAAAAGATAGGAAACAAAGGGTAGGAATAACAGGTGAGAATGAGTGAGTTAAATAGAGGTGTCCATCAGGGGTCTGTACTGGGACCAGTCCTATTCAACATATTCATAAATGATCTGGAAAAAGGGGTACGCAGTGAGGTGATAAAATTTGCCGATGATACAAAATTATTCAGGATAGTTAAGTCCAAAACAGACGGTGAGGAGTTACACAAGGATCTCACAAAACTGGGTGACTGGGCAACACAATGGCAGAAGAAATTCAGTGTCGATAAATGCAAAGTAACGCACTTGGCAAAATATAATCCCAACTATACATACAAAATGATGGGGTCTAAATTAGCTGAACCTGAAGAGATCTTGGAGTCATTTGTGGATAGTTCTCTGAAAACATCAGCTCAATATGCAGTGGCAAGTAAAAAAGCGAACAGAATACTGGGAATCATTAGGAAAGGGATAGATAATAAGAGAAAAATATCATATTGCCACTATATAAATCCACGGTATGTCAACATACTGACTAGTGCGTGCAGATTTGGTTACCCCATCTCAAAAAGGATATTGGATTTGGAAAAGGTACAGAGAAGGGCAACAGAAATGCATGAGGAGACATTAAAAAGACTGGGACTTTTCAGCTTGGAAAAGAGATGACTAAGGGGGGATATGATAAAGGTCTATAAAATCGTGAATGGTGTGGAAAAATTGAATAAGGAAATGTTATTTACTCCTTCACATAACACAAGAACTAGGGGTCGCCAAATGAAATTAACAGGCAGCAGATTTAAAACAAAAAAAAGTATTTCTTCCCAGTCAACAGGTCGAACTCTGCCAGGGGATGTTGTGAAGGCCAAAACTATAACAGGGTTCCAATAAGAACTAGATAAGTTCATGGAGGATAGGACCAGCAAAGGCTATTAGCCCGGGTGGGCAGGGATCCAATGTCATGTTCTGCATGTCCCTCGCCTCTGTTTGCCAGAAGCTGGAAGTGGGCAACAGGGTAACTTGATAATTACCTGTTCTGTTCATTCCCTCAGAAGCACCTGGCATTGGCCACTGTTGGAAGACAGGATACTGGGCTAGATGGACCATTGGTCTTACCCAGTATGGCCATTCTGATGTTCTTATATAGAATCCAGATGTATCTGCTTCCCGCTGTAACCCACTAGACCCCGCTCTCCTCCCAGAGCTAGGATAGAACCCAGAAGTCCTGACAGGGTCTCTCTCTCCACAGAGTTAGTAATAAAGTAAGAATATACATTAAAATTTTAAACTTCACCAGTGTCCCTTAAGTGACTTGCCACAAGATGTCAGAACATGTTGTTATTAGAGCTGAGTGGGTCTAATATTTATTTAATTTTCTTTCTTCTATAAAGGAATTAGATATAAGCCTCCTGTCAACTAACTGCTAAATTATCCGCCAAAAACTAGAGTTTTCAAGTGCCTAAGTAGCCCCAGGAATTATGATTAAAGTTCCCCCCCCCCAAAAAAAGAAATCTGAAAGGGCACCCCTGACATTGCTCCCAGTGGTAGAGCTGAAGTGAAGGTAGCAACTGTGGCATATATTTAGGAAAAGGCTAGCACAGGGGTAGGCAACCTATCGCACGCGTGCTGAAGGCGGCATGCGAGCTGATTTTCAGTGGCACTCACACTGCCTGGGTCCTGGCCACTGGTCTGGGGGGGGCTCTGCATTTTAATTTAATTTTAAATGAAGCGTCTTAAACATTTTAAAAACCTTATTTATTTTACATACAACATTAGTTTAGTTATATATTATAGACTTATAGAAAGAGACCTTCTAAAAACATTAAGATGTATTACTGGCACGTGAAACCTTAAATTAGAGTGAATAAATGAAGACTCGGCACACCACTTCTGAAAGGTTGCAGACCCCTGGGCTAGCAGAAACAATGGAAATTTGCCCACCACTTGGGAGCAGGGGCAGCTCCAATGGAAGTTGTGGCACTTCAGTATCTCTCAGGAAGTGGCCCCCAACACTCAAAATTTGCCACTGAATGGTGTTAAAAAACCCTATTTGACAAGCAGTTTCTTTTTGGCTTACATCTGGATAGAATTAGAGAAAAAACAGCTTTATCTAAACAAACTGTGTCCTAGCTCCAACTAAATACAACTGGCTCACTGTAGACTTTAAACACCGTTACTAGGCACTGGCATTTCCTGACACCCAACACAGACTCTAAACAGCTTTGAAATTAACATTAAAAATGAGACCGTGAGCTCCACCAGGCCAGGATTTAACTTCTTGATCACTGAGTTGAATCCACTGTAGAGCACCATTTATAGCAACAAGGCTGCCTTAATCAGAATAACCAACCAAAATGAGACGCCAACGCACATTTGCACTTAATATTCTCTAAGTGCCTAGCATGCTGTGGGTGACAGATGAGGTCAATAATAATAGTACTGCTAAACAACAGGCAGCAGCAGATTTAATACGACCACAGAAAGATTATGATTTCCCTCCCCCTCCCCCTGTAAACATCTGGTCAATCCCAAAATGCTTTGGCCATTTGGCCAGGGAGGAGAATGGATCACTGCTCAGCCAGCAAAGGCAACAGTTCTGGTGCTTTACTTTTATCACACACAAAAAGAGCACCAAGGCTGGATACCATTTTTTTGCAAGCTCCTAGGGCTTGCCCCTGAAACCACTGATCTCTGTTCCCCCCCCCAGCACCAATCCTAGCCTCAGTAGAGCCTGAAGCTCAACCCACACACAGAGAGGCTGGCACTGATTCTGCGCTCCCTTGCAGCAGGCCAGTTTCAGGCTGGTGTGACTCCACCGGAGTCACTCCGGATTGGCGCCTGTTGGAAAGTAGAGCAGGATCCAGCCCACACCCAGGGCTCTCTCGGAGAGCTCCCCTTACACACTGGCGCCTACCTGCCAGGCGGAGGGACAGCGGCCATGGGCTCCCCCGCGCTCCATCAGCCACACCGCGATCGCCGCCGCGGCTCCGCTTCCCCCGCCCCGACAAAGAAACCTCCCTTCGCGGCTGCCAATCCGACCCCCGCCGGCGGAGACGGCTACGCGCCGGCCAATGGGAGCCTCCCTGCCCCGCCTTTCCCCGCGCAGCCCCTGGCAATGGGAGCTCGGCTGGGAGCGGGCAGAGGGACTGGGCGGGTCCGGCGCCGGGGGG